AGGAGGAGGAGGAGGAGGAGGAGGAGAAGAACGAGGAGGAGGGCGAGGAAGAGAAGGGGGATCCTGAGGGATAAAAGAATGATAGGTTATTATCCTTTGTTCTCTTACTTTCAGCTTTCCACTTCTACAAAGGGTTGATGAAATAAATGCCCCCCTTCATTATGTTTTGTTAAAAAAGGTTATTTTTCCCCCTTTTTAAGTCCGTCAATCCACACATGATTCAGCATAAACACAAAAATCCAACTGTGTTATAATGAACCGACAGTTAGATTAACTATAAATTATACTCCTCACAAAACAAACATACAATTTAAACACGGAAATAATGAAAAGAGTGAAAAGGTTGTGCTTCAACAATGATCTGATCTACATCGAAGTTGACGAGAAATCAAGATAACTGCAACAATACTAGTCATGCGACATGTAAGCTACACACACCGCGAGCTTCCCTCAGCTGTGTCCTGCATGATTATATATTTTATTGCAAACTTAGCTATGAATTCGTATTCCTAGAGCTATAGAGCGCTAATCGAGTATGGATTTATACAAGAGACTGGTCGCTATACTTCTGTTATTGTTGTGGCTGTATTAACTCTTCACGCCCACATGGACAGAATTTAGATCACTTCAGATGCTGGCCCCTTCGACCCTGCCTGTCAGAGCTAACTCGGGCTGTGTGGGATAATATTATGATAATTATATCGGAGCAGAACGATGGATATACTTAACAATAATAAATATTATAGCTTTTCAATGTGCGTATTGAATTCACATCTTTTGTAGCAGTCAAGATTAAAAGTTTGGTATTGTACTGCATACATCGGTGTCTATAGCTCTAATATATGTAAAGTTTTTAAAAATGCTCTACTAAAGCCTAAAGTTGATATAATCACACGCACATACCGTTAACACAAAACAGACAACTTTGCTGAAACTAAGATTAGACTGCAGTTGACCTTCTTTGCAAAGACACCGGACCACGCTGCACTCTATGCTCTTATTAGATTTTTAGAAAGTTGGGATTCTTCAGATTCCTCCTCAACCCACTCCCTTGCCTCTCCCCCACCAACCACACAACTGTATGCATTGTATATGTTTGTTTGCTTGAGTGAAGTTAAGCACAAGGATTCAATAACAGTCATTTAGTGTTGGGAAAAGGTAAGACTATAGATAGCGATAGCAGAAAAACAATAAGGCAGTAGGACCTCTCAGTGGCGTCCTCCAACCACATACATGTACTGAGCAGAAGTGCATCTGGGCATTGTATCAATAAAAGAGAGCAAATATTGTAGAGATTCATAAGGCAAGTTTCTCATTTCAAGATACATTCATGGATAACAGTCAGTTGTATAGAATCAGACCTCTGAAGGCAAGCTGCCATAGCAAAAACGATAAAAATTATATTAATAATAATGATGATGGTGGTGGTGATGATGATGATAATGATAATAATAATAATAATAATAATAATAATAATAATAATAATAATAATGATAATAATGTCAAACACATCAGTGTGGTCAAAGCTTTAGCAGCCGTGGAGAGTTTTAATAATCTCACAATCTTGGCTACCTGAAAAGAAAGGGATCCCACTGCATAAAGGTAAATATCCACCCACGTACTAAATGCAAGTTCACAGCGTGTTAAAGAGACATCCCCGGTAAGTCACCCACAGGTAGGACTACTCGCGTCAGAATAAGGTAAAAGAAGAAGAAATGAGTGCGTTTCCCTTTTTTGTAACGCCATAGGGCCACGCAATGATCAAAAGTGTCACAACTTTGTCAGCAAACCGCCACAGAAGACACAAAACACCATAAAAGACACCAGATTATCATATTACATTTGTTGTCGATTTTGTGCTAACCAAGACATAGATGTGTCATTTGGACTCGTTCAGTTTTTGTTTTGGCTTTAGTAAGAGTTTTATGGCACTTGCAAAACAAATAGATCATAATATAAGTGCTGAAGATTAGAGGTGCTACCGTACTAAAGAGTAATATACAAAGAACAGAAGGAGGAGAGGTAAGGATGCTAGATGTTTGATCAGAAAGAGGAAACACAACACATCAGAGCACCCGCTTACAACACATTACACGTACGTTTCAACTTGGAACTCACCAGCTGTTCAGGCTTCCAGTCATGGTCATCATCATCGTCATCATCATCGTCGTGGGCTGCCACAGCGATGAGGATGATGCACAAGGTCACACAGATCACACCAAGAAGCAGCAGCAGCTTCCTGAGACAGGGGACTGAGTGCAGACATTTTTCCCGCCCTGGGTCTTCGTCGTCTGAAAATTCGCCAACCAGTATAGACTTTTCAGGCCTCATCGTGGTATAGAAGTAAGGAGGGAGTCTCTTCGGCCACAAAAGGACAATTAATCCTCCTCTCAAGAAATATCAGTTGCTGTTGTTGTTTTTTATGTTGACAGCGTTTCACTTAGCGGTACTTCCTCCGGAAATGTCAGAGCAGTCTTGTTACATATTCCTTCGAAAATTAAAATGTTTCGGCTGCTTTTTTATTCAAGTGTGCCAAGTTTTTTTTAAGGTTTCAGAAAAGTTTTTTTTAAGGGCGTCACTTCTCTAATTCAAGATTTGCTTCTCTATTTCAAGACAGTAAATGTTAACTACACATATGTTGCTTATCAACTATCTTAGCCTTTTTGAATTTCAACTCTAGACGAAACACGAATGGAGACACCAATAGCCCAGTTCGTATCAAGCTGGACTATGGTGCTGATAAGACCGATTCGAGTCTCCAACTTTCCACTATGAATCTAGGATTTCTGGGAAAGTTTTTAAAGTTTTTCGTTCACCGGCTTCAAGATGATTTTACAGCATTCCACAGAGGCGGAAAACCTTCGCACATCGTACCAAGCCAGATGTGTAAAATAAAAACCCACTATTAAAGTCAGCTGGTATTCTCTTCCTTTTTTATCTGGTATTACCAGTAAATTCACAAAGTATTATAGTAAGTATAGGTTAAGACTTTCATAAACCAAGCATTTGTTTTAGTAAGAGTCTTATGGCACTTGCAATACGATTAGATTGTATGAGTGCCGAAGATTAGAGGTGTTACGAGGGAGCAACAAACACAAAAGAAGGGGGAGAGATAAAGACGATAGACGTTTGATCGAGAAGAAGGAGCAAGCCACACCAGAGCACCCGCTAACCACCCATTAAACCAAGCATTTGGTATATTTGGGTTTATATAATACATGTACTCAGAAAGATGACCATCTGTGGTAACGTTAAATGTCCGTTTGGCACATGATGGTAGTAAAGCACAATTTTTTTTTGTTTTACTACGGTTTTACGGCACTTGCAACTGCATAAGGTCATATGAGCGCCAAGGGGTGGATGACAATAGAGAAATCCAAACGGGGAATCACGCTTACTCTACTCACCTCTCTAGCCTCAACAGCACAAAGTCTGCTTCGACTATCAAGGCACCCCGAAAATGGCAGTTCACAAGAGAGTGACAAACATATTTTTTTTAAGTATAGGAAAAAAATGACGATAGTAAGGATGAAGAAATAAAAAGAAGCAGTTCCCCCAATGTTGTTCCGACACAGTATGTGAGCATGACATATGTGAGGTGTGCTGACAAAATGAGTTACTTCTCGCAATCCACAAATGGAGATATTGCCAAAAAAAACCAAAAACAATCAACACTAGGGCCAAATTAATTTTAGATTTTCTATTGAAGCCATATTCTTTAAGTGTAATATGCCTGTTATTATTTCATACTTTTGTATTTTTTAAAACTTAAAAGCGTGATGTATCTATTTCAATATGGCTCAAATCCAAGAAGTAACTCATTTTGTCAGCACGTTTCACATATATATGTCAGTGCATTTACAATTCTACTGTGCATAAGAAAAGAACGTGTTAATACCCCCCCCCCAACCCCCTTTAGAGTTAAAATTTTTGCATTAACGAGGGTGTGTGTTTCGGAGGGGAAAGGGTAAAAATAGGCGGGGGGGGTGGTGGTAATGAAAGCAGCAAGAAGACGTGGGGATAAGATTAAGAGAGAGAATGAGTGCATGTTTATGTATGTGTCTGAGTTCAGGTTCATGAGAGAG